GATGATGATGATGATGATGATGATGATGATGATGATGATGATGATGATGATGATGATGATGATGGTGATGGATGAGGAGGAGAGAGGAGGAAAAGGAGGGGAGGAGAAGGAGAAGGGGGGGGGAGGAATAACGGTCAGGAGGAGGAGAGGAGAGGTAGAGGATGATAGTGATGATGATGATGAGATATGATGAATGATGATGATGATTATGATGATGATTATGGTGATGATGATGGTGATGATGATGCTGAATGATGATGATGCTGATTATGATGATGATGATGATGGGGGATGATTATGATGATGATGATGATGATGGTGATGATGATGATGAATGATGACGATGTGATGATGATGCTGATGATATGATTGATGATGCTGCTGATGATGATGATGATGATGATGATGAGATGATGATGATGATGACGATGATGATGATGATGATGATGATGATGATGTGATGATGATGATGATGAGATGATGATTATGATGAGGCTTTGATGTGCTGATGCTGCTGCTGCGGATGATGATGATGATGATGAAGGAGCGGGTAGGAGGAGGAGGAGGAGGAGAGGGATGAATGATGATGATGATGATATGATGATGATGATGATGATGATGAATGATGATGATGATTATGATGATGATGATGATGATGATTATGAATGATGATGAATGATGATGATGATGATGATGATACTGATGATGATGATGATATGAATGATAATGATGATGATTGATGATTATGATGCTGATTGATGATGATGATGATGATGATGATGATGCTGATAGGATGATTGAAGATGATGATGATGATGATGATGATGATGATGATGATGATGATGATGATGATGATGAGATTGATATGATGATGAGGATGATGATGATGATGATGATGATGACGAGGAGGAGGAGGAGGAAGGATGCTGAGAGGGAGGGAGGATGAGGGAGGAGGAGGAGGAGGAGGAGGAGGAGGGGGGGGAGGAGGACGGTCAGGAGGATGAGGAGGAGGAAGAGGAGGAGGAGGAGGGATGAGGAGTAGGGAGGAGGGGTGAGGAGCAGGAAGTTGAGTAGGACCGAGACCTTGTTGGTGTCGGCGCCGCGAGTATAAACAAGACGATCCTGTGGGCCTGAGCTTAGCCGGGCCGGGCCTTCGGCGGGCCTGGGAGGCCGCCGCCGAAGCGGCCGCCGCAGCCGCCGCCGTCTTCGTCGCCGCTGCCGCCGCCATCGTCTTCGTGATCGTCGTCGTCGTCGTCGTCGTCGTCGTCGTCATCGTCGTCCTCGTCCTCGTCCTCGCCGTCCTCTTCGTCGTCGTCGTCGTCGTCCTCGTCCTCGTCCTCGTTCTCGTCGTCCTCGTCGTCTTCGTCGTCTTCGTCGTCGTCGTCGTCGTCGTCGTCGTCGTCGTCGTCGTGGTTGTCCTCCTCGTCGTCGTCGTCGTCGTCGTCGTCGTCGTCGTCGTCGTTCGTCGCCGAGGTGGGGCCTGGCCGGCGCTCCTGCCTTCGCTTCGCGGGCGCGGCCGGCGGCCGAGGCGTCGCCGCCCGACCGCCGCCTCACTGCTACTGCTGCTGCTGCTGCTGCTGCGGCTGCTGCGGCTGCTGCGGCTGCTGCTGGAGGAGGAGGGCGGAGGAGGAGGGCGGAGGAGGAGGAGGAGGAGGAGGAGGAGGAGGAGGAGGAGGAGGAGGAGGAGGAGGAGGAGGAGGAGGAGGAGGGCGGAGGAGGAGGAGGAGGAGGAGGAGGAGGAGGAGGAGGAGGAGGAAGGAGGAGAGGAGGAGGAGGAGGAGGAGGAGGAGGGGCGGAGGAGGAGGAGGAGGAGGAGGAGGAGGAGGAGGAGGAGGAAGAGGGGTGAGGAGCAGGAGGAGGAGGAGGCTCCTCGGAGGGCCTCCGAGGGCCTTCCATCGGCGGCGCGCCGGTTCGATGCAGTCTTCGCCGGCGTGGCGAAGGTTGTCGATCAGTGGCGAAGCGTCCTGGCTTGCCTATATGCCCACCGAAGGCTGTTCTAAGAACCCTCTTGTGGCCTGCACGAACTGTTCCCAGAACGTGTTTGGCTGGGGCTGTCCTGCTCTAACATATCGGGCTTATGCTCCAAGAACACAGTTGGTGTTCTTGGCGAATTTTCGGGGTTCCGAGAAAATTTCGTGGTAGGCCTATAGGGACGCAGGGACGGTCGACCCCTGCTCAGGACTGGGCCCCACATCGAGCCGCATCGGCGATGCATTGGCGATGCGGCCCGATCGTCCGGGCCCCCGCTGCAGCGGACCCCGGCCTCAAACTTCTCGACCAGCGCCCCCCCCCCACCGCGCTTCGCCTCGGTTGCAGGGCTGCGCCAGGCCCGGCCGCCTCCGGGCTACTCGCCCTTCTCGTCGCCGCCGATCGCCTCCGCTCCCCAGGAAAACGTCGGGCCCATGATTTTCGCCCAAAGAGCGCGCACTCGACGGCCAGAAGCCCCCTCGCAGGCGAAGCCGGGGCGCGACCCCAGCTCGAGGCGCCCCCCCTTGCGCGACGAGGAGAAGCGGAGCTCACGCGAGAGCTGCACGCCGTGAGGAACGCCAAGTGAGGAACGAAGGGGCTTTTCAGGCCACGCAGCCTCGGCCACGAACAGGTTCACCGCCCCAGGTCGTAGGAACTGCTCGAGAGCCAAAGCCCCTCATGAACCCAGTGCGGTCCTCATCTCAGCGCCTTGGCTGTAGATCCGCACGGGCCTCCGAGAAAGCCTGTGTCCATGCAGTGTTCTGGCTCTCCGATCCCTGGGGCTCTGCACGTGCGCCCAGCGCTCGGCACGCACTCGGCCGGTCGGCGGCCCGCCGGCGGGGGGGAGCGGGAGTGGGCAGGCCTCCTCAGACGGCGGCGGGGCTTCTCAGAGGGCCCCCTGGCCCTCCGAGGAGCCCTCTGTGGCTTCAGGGGAGGACGGGCCAGCTTCTCGGAAGGCCAGGGGCGCCCTGTGCCTTTTTGAGAAGGCACCGCGCCTCTGCCTTCCCCCCCTGGGCGCGCCGCCGACTGCCAGGGTCGAGCTTCGAGCGTTCCCGCGCCTTTCGCCCCTCCCTCGTGCTGCCAGGAGGCCACTCGTCGGCACGGCTGGCTCCGCCTGGGAAGTCTTGGCCGGAGCGCACTCGGGGACGGGTCTGGGGGTCGGCCTTTGGAGGAGGGCCTCGGAGATCCGGGCGCCGCGGCAAGCATCATGATGTCCATGTGTTCCAGGCAGCATCATGGTGCCAATCTGTTCCACGTGTTCGGCCTCCTGGAGTCCGTGTCGCGTCCATGGGGGTCGTCGAGGAGCGACTCGGGATGAAGAGCTGGCTTTTTTTTGGAAAGCTCCCTGGGGGGGCCCGCGCGACGGAGAAGTGCGACGTCGGAGGAGATGGTCCCGATCTCTCTCCTCCGTGCCCCTTCCCCCCCTGTGACCATTTTCGAACACTGCCCCTTCGGGTCTGATCAACCCTGGGGTATCGGGCACCGCTGTTCGGGCCTCATTCAGGTTAGGTCAGGTGTGCCAGGCGCCGGCGCGGTGCATCGGCAACAAACTGATACGTTGAGCTTCGCACGAGTCTTGAAAATGATGGTACACTGCCAGCGGGAGCGGGAGGAAGGGAGAGAGAGAAGGAGGGGGAGGACAAAGGGAGCGAGAGTGAGAGGCAAACGCATTAATTGTCAAGAAGCAACTTGTGGACGCACTCTGCCCATTGCTGCTTGGGCCTCCCACGCCTTCGCTTGAGAACCCACCTTTGTGGCTCGAGTGAGCTTTGGGCCTCACTCTGCTGAGTGTATCGTTCATATCCTGCTCCCCCCGCCGGTGCTTCAGAGATCTGAACTGCCAGCTGGGGTAGGGTTCACATGTGCTCGCCTACCCCCCCGCCCCAAGGTCGGACGTCTCGTCTTTTTCGCCAGACGCTTTCGCCCTGTTGCGGGCCCTGGGGCCCTCATGGATCGGTTGGGCTCGAGAATTGCCGCAGGAAAGTGGGATCTAGGGCTCTGGTCGAGATCTCTCACGTTTTTGTTTTTTTGTTATTTTTTTCTCCCGCGGCGTCGGATTTCAGGGCTTGCCCTTCCCCTCCTCCCCCTCCTCCTCCACTTGCCCTCCCATTCCACTTGGTTCGTCGAGGGTTGGGGAGACATGGGGCGGTTCAAGCAACTGCTGCATGCAGCCGGTTCCAGCCCCGCTGCTGGGCGCTCTTCTCGACACGTGGCCGCTTCCGGCTCGAGGAAAGCCAGCTTCGCTTGTGGCCGGTGGGAGAGCTGGCCCCACATATCTCCTTCAAGTATCGCCTACGCGAGACGATTCGCTATGTTTAGGTCGGGCCTGTCCCCCTACGGGGGGATTTTGGGCGACAAATTAAAAGTATATTTTTTAAAATGCCCAACACATGTTCAAAAATACATGAAAAATAGTCCCGATATGATTTTTTTGAGCATTCTTGAATATTCCCCACTGTAGAGGGACACGCCCGTTTTATCGCTATGTCCTCCCCGCTGCTATTCCCACTCTCTGCAGCTCTCCCACCCCCCGCTCCTGAGATCCAGAGCTGCGAAGAGGTGCAACACCGCGAACAATCACGACGGCAGCCCCGGACCCCATCGTTCAGTGGCATCTTTCGAGCCGAATCGACCTGTGGTGGTCCTGGGGCCCAAGACCAGGCGAGAACGCCCCGCGTGAAAAATTGCAACGCCCGGACCTCAGGGCCTGCTTGCGGCTGCCCCAATTCCCGCCCTCCACTTGGATCACCGAGGAGGTTGCTAAGTGGATCGGGGGCTATAAGTGGATGTGAAGGTGGGTCATATCTGACGTGACCTAGCTTAGAGGTGGGTCGCAAGTACCCTGAGTGGCGCAGGTGGGTTAGGCAACTCCGCTAAGTGGGTGGGGCCCGCTTGGTCTGGATATTTGTCTCTCATGCCACTTGGGGCACTTCTCTCCCACGTGCAAGCTAGGTCACACCAGATATAACCCACCTCAGCATCAGCTTATAACCCCCCTATCCCCTTGGCAGCCCCCGCGGTGATCCAAGCAGGCCAGAGTGGCTGCTCGCTGCGCTGGGACACCGAGGCGCTTTCGGCGGTCCTGGAGAGGTCGCTGGCCGCCGGCGGGGCCACGTCGCACCCGCTTTTCCGGCCACCCTCGCGGCAGCCGCCGCTGCACCCCGTGCTGCTGTCGGAGCTCGCCACGAAGCAAGCGCGTACCTGTCGGGCGATCAGATGGATATATTTCTATACTTGTGCATGCAAAGACATGCATGCATGTATGTACGTATGCGTTGGCATTTCTGATAGACACATGCATGTGTATATGTAAGTGTATGTGCATACCTGCATGCGTGCATGAAGGTACGTGCGTGTGTGTGTGTGTGTGTGTGTTCTGGGTGTTTGTTTATATGTATGTATGTGTGTATGCATGCATGTAAGTATTTATGTATTGATGGATGGTTTGTACGGTGCTTTGCTGTGGTAATGTAAGGTGCAGTGCTGTCCTGTTTTGTATTGTCATGCCATGTAGTGCACATTGACATATGTATGCGTGCATGCATGTACATCTACATGCCTGCCTCGTGTATGTATGTAGGTGTATGTAGGTATGCATGTTTTCATACAATGTAGGCATGCACGTATATATATATATATATATATATATGTATGCATGTATGTATGTATGACTGATTGAATGAATGAGCGCATTTGTGTATGCACGTTCTCATGCCTATAATCAGGTAGGCATGTATGACTGTATGCATGTATGTATTAGGATGTATGGATGTATATATCTATGTATGGATGTATGTGTGCAAATCTGGACGTATGTATGCACGTATGCATGCATGCATGCATGTATTGATGACGTTCGATATGCACGTATGTTTATGTATGTATTGTGCATGTATGCGCGTATGCGTGTGTATGTAGTCATGTGTGTATTTGTGAATATAGATACACGCATAAGTACGGACGTGCGTACGCAAGTGTGTATGTATGCCTATATGCATGTACGCATGTATTAGTGTATGCATGCATGCATGTATTTTCGTATGTTTGTATGAATGCAGTCATGCATGTATGTATGGATGTATATCTATATGTATATATATATATATATATATATATGTGTATGTGTACGTGCCTGTGTACGTACGTACGGGTGCGTGTGCATCTGTGTGTGCTGTATATCTGTGTATATATATACAGATATAGGTGTATCACGCACATTTATGTATGTTTGTGTGCCTTCTTGCATGCATGCATGTATGCTTGTCTGTCTGCCTGTCTGTCTGTCTGTCTGTCTGTCTGTATATACGTATGCCTGTATAGATGCGTGTATGCATGTATGTATGCATGTGTACATATGTATGTATGTATGTATGTATGTATGTATGTATGTATGTATGTATGTATGTATGTATGTATGTATGCACGCGTGCATGTATGTATGTATGCCTGTCTGTCTTTCTGCCTGTCTGTCTGTCTGTACGTACGTATGTATAATTTTTTGTATGCATTTTCATGTATGTATGTGTATGTGCAGGTATGTATATATGCCTGCATGCATGTGTGTATGTATGTTTGTGTGTGTATGTATGCTTGTATGCATGTTTGTTCGTTTGTACATACGTATGTCAGTGTGTATGCGTAACTGTGTGTATGTACTTATGTATGCATGCATGCACGTATGTATGTATGTATGTATGGAAACGGTTCAGGAATTACTCTTGGCCGCTCCCCAGGGGCCGATTTTGCGAGAATGTCCCGAGCGAGGGCGCCAGGTCGGGATTCCGCGCTGGATTCCGTCAGGTTCTTTCAGATTCGCCGGAATTGCTCGAAACTGTGCAGGAAGCGCATCTGTTGATCTCGCTTCCACGCGCGCTGGGGGTCAGGATGACGTGGGTTCATGAGTTCCACATCAACTCTCGCAAATGATAGCCACAGGCCCCTGGCCAGGCCCATCCCGGGCCGAGCATCAGTATATATATAAGTGTTATATATATATATATATATTTCTATGTATATGTATATGTGTATGTATATGTTTATGTATAATTATATGTACATGTTTATGTATATGTATATGTATGTGTATATTTATACATGTGTATATACAAATACATATGTACACATGCACATATAAATATACATACAGACATGTAGACACATATATTTATATGTGCCCTGGGATCCTGGGCCTGGGATGTGCCTGGCCTGGACCGGTGGACACGTGCAGATCTCGCCGCCCCACGCCTGGAGGCTGTTTTGCTTGCCACGCTCCAGCAGGCTTACTTGCGCGGGTTTGCCAGGGGCTGCCCTTCAGCCTGGCCGCCCCCGCCCGCTCGCCGCAGCCCCGCCGCGTGAGAGTGCCCGCGCGCCCGGTTCCCCCTCCCCGCGGCCGCCTCCCTCGCGTCTCCCCCTCCTCCTGCAATGCGGGTCGATACGCGATTCCGTGCCCCGGTCTCGCCCAGACGCCCGTGAAGATTGCTTCTTCCGCGCTGCGACGTGAAAAGTTTACTTGCATGCGTCAGGGGGGGGGGCGTGGCGAGGCCGGGAAGGAAGTCTGGACCTCACGTAAGTCAGGGCTCACTGGCACGCCTTTTCGGCCCCGCGCTGTCTGACAAGGCGGCGGCAGGGGGCAGAAATGCTAACAAGTAAGCCTGCCAGGGTTTACAGGAAAACGCCCTCCTGAGGGCAGCGTGTCCTGAGGTTTTCGGGCTCCCGGGGTCTGGTCCCTCCCGGGCCCTGGAGCCGCCAGCATCATGTCTCGGGATGAAGAGCGGGATCGAGCCCCCAGGGGGGCACCCCTGGAGTGACGGGGTGACCCCTGCAGGTGCACATCCCTTCCCTGGGGCCGGCTTTTCGTCGCGAGTCGTTTTTAGGCGGCCGGGGCCCGGCGAAGTTTCCCAGAGCCCGAACATTGAGAAAAGCTCCAGCGCGGTTTTTATTGGCGACGCGAGGGGGTGTAGCTTTCGGGCCATATCCCGAATCTCCAGCGGTCGTTCGGGACGATCTGGGCACCCATGGAACGTTCTCACCGAGGCGCAACTATTGGAGAGCATCCAAAGACTGCATAACTTCGAAGAGACAACGATGCCTTCAACTCGTTGGAAGATCAAGACAGTTTTTTTTTGCAGTTCCTTGGAGGCCTGTTTTTTCCTTCGTGCTGGGGATCTGCGGCGAGCGAGGGGGGGAAGTGAGATAGAGAAGGCCTTCTCAGCAGGTGGCGGGACTTCTCAGAAGCTCTCGCGCCTTCCGGGAAGTCTTCCGTGTCCTCGGGGAGGGCTTAGACATCTTCTCAGAAAGGCCATAAGACTTCCGAGCCTTCTGAGAGAGTCGGCTACGTGCAAGAGTGACCTTTCGCCGGAGCGACCTTTGGTGCGGGCTCACAAGGGTGGTCCCGGCATTGGCCAGCGCGCAGGGATTTGGGCCCTTCGCGGCCCCCTCAAGCCGCGCACCAGAGGTCACTCTTGCCTAGGGTCACTCTTGCGTGCAGTCGAAAGGGTCCGCCCCTCCTCCTCACCTCCTCCTCCTCCTCCTCTTCCTTCTTCTCCTCCTCCTCCTCCTCCTCCTCCTCCTCCTCCTCCTCCTCTCCCTCCTCCTCCTCGTCGTCGTCCTCCTCCTCCTCCTCCTCCTCCTCCTCCTCCTCCTCTCCCTCCTCCTCCTCCTCCTCGTCGTCGTCGTCCCTCCCCTCCTCCTCCTCCTATTCCTCCTCCTCCTCCTCCTCCTCCCTCCCTCCTCCTCCTCCTCCTCCTCCTCCTCCTCCTCCTCCTCCTCCTCCTCCTCCTCCTCCTCCTCCTCCTCCTCCTCCTCCTCCTCCTCCTCCTCCTCCTCCTCCTCCTCCTCCTCCTCCTCCTCCTCCTCCTCCCCCCCCCGGCGGGCTCGCCGCCCGAAAAGGAGCCCAACGGCCGCAGCCGGGGCTACCGGGAGGCGCTGGCCGAGCTGCTCTTCGAGGGCCTGGCGGTCCCCGCCGCGTGCCTGGAGCCCAGCGCCGCGCTGACTGCGCTGTCGTTCGGGCGCACGGGCGCCACGGTGGTCGACGTGGGCGCGGGGGTCACCTCGGTAGCGCAGGTCCAGGACTCGAAGGGCGGCGTCAACCCCAGACCTCCTCGAGACAGGAAACAAAGTCACGACTGGAGGCATGTCGCTCTTTTCGGCCTCTGGGGACCCTTCCTGGGTCTCGGGACCGTTAACGAACGATTCAGGATGAGAAAGCGGTCCCGAGGAATGGGTCGAGACCTCTGGGGATCGATATTCTGAACAAAAATGATGACGTCGGGGGTCTGGGACTACTCTGAGATCCAGGCATTGTACGTTTTTCGCACTGGGCGTTTTCGCCCAGCGTCGCCCACGGATTATCACAGATCGATCTGGCTCGAAAGATGCCGCCGAAAGATGGGGTCTGGGGCTCAGGTCGTGATTTTCGCGATGTTGTATTTTGTCGCAGCGTCGGAATTCAGGATGCACAGTCAAGACGTCGAAGGAAGGGCCACTTCTGGTTTTCGGGCCGCTCCTCAGATCCAGGTCGGGAAGCCAGCCCATTTCGTGGCCGAGGCTCGCCGTGGCCAGGAACGTCCTTTCGTTCCTTGTGTAGCGCGCCTTGCGGTAGCGCGACGGCTGCACACCTATGAAAACAATCCTGGAGGCCCACGGCGGCGCGCAGCAGTTGTACCATCTCGTCCACACGTCCGCTCCGTACGATATGGGTCGACGTTCGCGCGGGGATGCTCCGACGTAAGTCCGACGTGAATCCGACGTGAATCCGACGTGAGCCTGACGTGAATCCGATGTGGAACCGACGCACGTTGGGTCTCGAGTTGCCGCGCGAGGCCTCCAGGATTGTGAAGGCCTTACGGCCGGTGCCGCCGACCTAGAAGGACGACGACGACGACGACCACGACGACAACTACAACGACGATCTGATGACCGTGCTACAGTCTCTGGACATGGGGCGGGCGTTGGAGGGATGAGGATGAGGAGGAGGAGGAGGATAAGGAGGAGGAGGAGGAGGAGGAGGAGGAGGAGGAGGAGGAGGAGGAGGAGGAGGAGGAGGAGGAGGAGGAGGAGTAGGAGGAGGGGGACGAGGACTGGCACTGCCACGCCTGTTTTTTTCTCACTTGCACACCTTCACCTCTTCACTCGCAACTCTACTGTTGAAAGCAGAACTTGCACCAATGCAACTTGCCTTGCAGCCATCAAGGCACCTACGCAGCCGCCAGGGCATGCACCAGGGCACCAGGCGTTGCATGCAGTGACACTTGCCTTGCAACCACTGGTGCAGCAGGCCACTGCCACGCCTGTCTTTCTCTTCCTGTGCCATTCTACCTCAACCTCGTCGCAGGCCAACTGGCTTGCCCCCCTTCCTCTGTCAGGTTGGGCACCTCTGCGGAGGGGGGCCCAGGGCGCCCCCTAGGGCGCCGACCCGAATGGGGGAGGACCCAGGAACGGACCCCTGGGCCCAGACCTTGCCACACTCAGCCTGCCACGCGCTGCTGTGTCAGCGCGCCACACGCTGCCGCACTCACATCCCCCTACTCACCTGCCCCCTTCGAGGTCATGATCGGTCGCCTTTCTCACTTTCCCTTCCCTCCCTGTCTGTCTGTCTGTCTGTCTGTCTGTCTGTCTGTCTGTCTTTCTTTGCGTGTGCCAACGCATGTTAAAACACGTGGCAGCGGGTAGCCTTTGGAGCTGTGCTCCAAAGGTCACTGGGCTTTAGTTTGATCACCCCCCCAGGGAAGACCGTCCCTTGGGGGGGGGGGGCAGTCGGAAACCTTTTATGCCATCAGGAATCAGGAATCAGGAATGAGGAGGAGAAGGAGGAGGAGGAGGAGGAGGAGGAGGCGGAGGAGGCGGAGGAGGAGGAGGCGGGCCCGTGCCCGGCGAAGGCCTAGAGCCCGAACGCTGAGAAAAGTCCGTCGCGATTTTTGCTGATGACGCGAAGGGGCTTGGTTTTCGGGGCATATCTCGGACCTCCAGCGGCCGTTTGGGACGACCCGGGTACCCCTGGAAGCGCTCTCGCCGAGGCGCAGCTGCTGGAGAGTACTTCGAGGCAGAGAAACCTGAAAGAGACACCAGAACTCTTCGAACATCGCAGAAACAACTTTCGGAAGCCTCCCGGTCTGTCCCCGTACTTGGATCACCGCGGGGACCGCTGAGGGAATGTGGGGGGTATTTGTGGATGCCGAGGTGTCTTTATGTCTGGCCTGACCTAGCTTGTAAGTGGGTCAGGGTTGTAAAGATCCTTGCAAAGATCCTGGCCCCTCTACGCCTTTAGGGCACTCGCAGCCTACTTGCCAGCTAGGTCAGGCTAGGCATCACCCACCGTTGGCATGAACTCATGCTCCCCACTGTACAGTTGGCAACCCGCCGCGGTGATCAGAGTGGTTTCCGGGTCATGGCTCGGGTCTCCGGCGGCCGTTCGGAACGATCCGGGCACCCTCAGAAAGCTCTCGCTGAGGCGGTGTTGCTGGAGAGCATCCCGACGCGGGATATGCTCAAAGAAACATCGAAAAATTGCAACACCCTCCCGCCCTCCACCCGCATCCTTGGATGCGGAGGGGATCTGGGTAGTTGACCCCGAGAAGTTCCGAGCCTTTTTCCCGAGGCAGGCTTCTGATCCTGAGCCAATTTTGAGGGCCCTGGGGCCCGGTCATGGCCCCCAGATGTTGAAATTGGTAGAAGGTTTGTTTCCTATCCATCTTGTGGTGTTGGGTCTGCGTTTCGAATAGACAATGCCGCGCTTCCTTCCCGAGTATGTAAGGGCGGGCCTATCGCTGGTCAATCGGCGATGCGTCGCCGATTCCAGGTCGATGTTTCCCCTCCCGTCCCCGTGTGAGCCTGTCCCCCCCTAGCGTTGACCCTCATTGTCCCTCTACCCTGAGATCCGACGTTGCGAACAAATTGTAACTTCGCGAAAAATCGCGACAATGGCCCCAGACCCAATCTTTCTGTGATATTTTTCGAGCCAGATCGATTTATGAGGGTCCCGCCCGGGGCCCCCAACGAGCCCAAATCGCTGGGTATGAAAAATTGCAACGCCTGGATTTGAGGGTAACCTCAGAGGGTCTTTAATGCTAACGGGGATCCCCCCTAAGCTCTGGGCTGGAAATTCAAGTCGTGTTTCCCCTCTTCGTCCTTCCCCTCATCATCACCATCTCCATCACCATCACCATCATAATCACCATCAGGGATCCTCATCCCCCACCATCATCAGCGGTGGCCGCCGCGGGGGAACAATTATTTTCCCAGCATTGTTGGGACTCAAATCCGTCCATAAGCCCGCGCGGAATTGAATTTACCATTATTGGGGGAGGGGGGTTTTGAAAATACCCTTCGCGGTCACGCAAGGACGGGCGCGTGGTGCTGGCGCGCCTCCGGGAAACGGTAGGAGGAGGAGGGAGGAGGGAGGAGGAGGGAGGGAGAAGGGAGGAGGGAGGAGGCAGGAGGAGGCGGAGGAGGAGAAGGAGGAGGAGGAGGAGGAGGAGGAGGAGGCGGAGGAGGAGGAGAAGGAGGAGGAGGAGGAGGAGGGGAGGGAGGGGAGGGGAGGGAGGGAGGGAGACAGACGAGGAGGGAGCAGGGGGGAAAGGGGGATTCGCGTGGAGGGCCGAGCTCTTCCTCGACTCTTGAGCCGAGCCGAGCTCATGCTCGCCTCTTGCGGGTATGCCAGGACGGGCGCGTGGTGCCTGCGCGCCTCCGGGAGCACCCCTTCGCCGGGGCCGCCCTCGACGACGCGCTGGCGGGCCTCCTCGCAAGGCAGGGCGTGGAGCTCCTGCCAGCGGCGGCCGCCTCGGAGCCGCGGCGGCAGAGCGCCGCCAGGAGGCTGGCGCAGGACAGGAGGAGGAGGAGGAGGAGGAGGAGGAGGAGGAGGAGGAGGAGGAGGAGGAGGAGGACGAGGAGGAGGACGAGGAGGACCAGTGCAAACTCAAGAGTCATCAAAGATGTTGGTCCCTCCAAGCCCCCTCTTCATAGGCCGCATACAACGGTTCATTTCCACTGAGGGACGTGCACTGTTGGAAGACGACCGTTTGAGTAACCAAAAGCATGCCAAAACATTGTTTTCGGGATTCGAACGCAACGCGTCAACCTGACCATTGCGTCTTGACAATCCAGAATCGTGCCAGAGCGCCATTCCTGGGACTAAGACCGCGAACCAACGTAACTTCTGCGCCCTCATAATCCTGAATACTTCCAAAATGCAGTTTTCTGGTGAGCTGGTCATGGGAATCCGTGGAACTTTTTGATTTTTTACAAGCGAATATGGGCGGCGCTGCGGCGAGAGCCACATTTTTTAGGAGGAACCGCCTTCAACCCGTACAACTCGTGCAATTTTTAAACGGAGTGTGCGCGGCGCTAAGGCGGGAGCCACATTTTGAAAGCGACCGCCTTCAATCCGTGAAGCTCTTGCAACTTCTTAAAACGAACTTGCGCGGCGCTAAGGCGAGAGTCACATTTTGAGAGCTACTCGCCTTCAATCAGTGAAACTCTTGCATTATTTTGCAGCGAATGTGAGTGGCACGAAGGCGAGAGCTACATTTTGAAAACGACCCGCCCTCAATCCATGAAACCCTTGCAACTTTTAAGAACTACTGTGCGCGGCGCTTAGGCGAGAGTCACATTTTGAAAACGACCCGCCCTCCATTTGTGAAACTTCCAATTTTGAAGCTTCAGGGTATTCAGTGGTGAGGAAGTCTCAGGCGAAACGCCCGGCCCGCCTAATGAATTGGCCTCGGGGTGCGACAGGGAGAAGTTGTTTATAAGGACAAGGAATGGAGGAGTTGGAGGAGGAGGAGGAGGCCGAGGACGAGGACGAGGATGATGAGGAGGAGGACATCTTGCTCTTTTCCCTATTCTCTCTTCCTCCTTCGGTCTTTCGGTCTTTTTGCTGCTACCTCTTGCAGATACTCCCAAGAGGAGGAGGAAGAGGAGGAGGAGGAGGAGGAGGAGGAGGAGGAGCAGGAGGGAGGTGGAGGAGGAGGAGAACGGGGAGGAATAGGGAGGAGAATAAGGACATATCAGCTTACCGTTTACAGCTTATCCCACCAGCTGGTGACTCCAGGGGCGACCGGCCCTGGAGTTACCTGGCTCACTAGCTTCGTCACCCCTTTCCAGGGCCGACCGGCCCTGGGGGTGGATGGTCGCGTCCATCGGACTCTCAAACCATCAGTGGCTCAGTGGCTCAGTGGCTCAGTGGCTCAGGAGGAGGATGAGGATAAGGAGGAGGAGGAGGAAGAGGAGGGAGAGGAGGGGGAGGAGGAGGAGGAGGCGTCCAGGTCGTCCAGGGTTGCCGGTCCAGTCCTCTACCTTCTTCTTCTTCTTCGTTTCTTCCTCCTTCTCCCTCCTCATTCATCTCCTCCTTATCCTCCTCGTCGTTCTCCCTCGTCGTCGTCGTCGTCGTCCTTCTCTTTCTCCTACACCCCTCTTCCTTGTCGCAACCCCAGACGTGTCGGTATGATGAGCTGGGCGTTTCGCTTGAGATTTCTTTTCCATTTGCGAAACTGAAGCTTGGATGTTATGACAGTTTTAAAGATGGAGGGCGGCCCGTTTTCAAGATGTGGCTCTCGCCGTAGCCCCGCGCACATTCGTATTAACAGTTTGTACACATTTCAAAGATGGAGGGCGGTCCGCTTTCAAAACGTGGCTCTTGCCTCGACGCCGCGCACATTTTTTTTTAAAAGCTTTCAGCATATTCAAAGATGGAGGGCTGTCCGTTTGCAAGATGTGGCTCAAGCTCTAGCGGCGCGCACATTCGTCTTAAAAAGTTTGCAACAGCTTCCGCGATGGAAGTTGGCCCCTTTCCACAATGTGGATCTTACCTCAGCGCCGCGTATACTTGTTTTAAAGGTTTGCAGCACTCAAGGGTTCGCAATCCTCAGGAATTATATCTTTGCACTGTCTAGGGTTATCAAGACGCAGCGGTCATTGTAATCGATGTGTTGGATTCCCAGGAATGGTGTCCTGGCACGATTTAGGATTGTCAGGACGCAGCAGTCACTCCGATTCGCGGCGTTGCTGTCCGAGGGAGGGTGTTTTGGCACGATTGAGGATTTTCGGAGAGTTGTCCTCCAGTGAGACATGTTCCGCTATGAAATGGGAATCTGAAGAGAATATGGAGAGCAGGTTTATTGCAGCATTGTTGATGTGTCTTGCGTTTGCGCTCCTCCTCCTCCTCCTCCCTCCACCTCCTCCTCCTCCTCCTCTTCCTCCTCCTCCTCCCTCCTCCTCCTCCTCCTCCTCCTTCTCCTCCTCCTCCTCCTCCTCACCCTTCTGATTCTGATTCTCCTTCTCCTCCTCCTCTTTCTCCTCCTCCTCCTCCTTCTCCTCCTCTCTAGGCCTCCCAGAGGGGGCGGGAGTATATGGGGTCGGAGGATCGCGTCGCATCGCCGATGCATCGGCGATGCGGCCCGATGAGTTGCCCGATTTTCGCCACGCCGACGGCGGCGATGCATCGCCGACGTCGCCGACGCATCGCTGCTGCATCGCCGATACATCGGCGATGCATCGGCGATGCAGCGCGTTCCCCCGACCCCATCTACTCGGACCGCCTTTATTGGCTCCAGCTTGCAGAAGGGGGGAGAAAGGGGCCCCCTCGTCGCCACGGCTGGACGCGGCTCGAAAAACTGGTCCGTTTGTACCTCGGGAGGGGTCCGCAGGAAGATTTTGAGCGGACCCAGGACATCGATGATGCAAAAGCGGCGTGCACAAACTGTCGGATCTGCGCGCGTATTTCTTGGATCTGCGATGGGTTCGCCCTGGCGGCGCCTCCAGCGCCGCCCACAGCTCGCTCCGCGCGCCAGGGAGGGTGGTCCAGCGCCGATCCAAGAAGTCCGCGCGGAGCTCCGAAAGCTCATGAGTATGCGTTCTTTCTTTTCGAGGACATGAAGGAGACGATCTGCTGGTGCAGCCACGTGCCGCTGGCGGAGGCCATCTTTCTCTCCTGTCCTTCTCCAGGGCTTCGAGGTTCGAGGATCGAGGTTCGTCTTCTGGAGGTTCGAGGATGAAGTATCGAGGTTCGCTCTCTCGGCGATATGATTTGTTCAGCTTGCGTTTTTCCCTACGTTTCTCCCGACGATGCGATTTGTTCAGCTTGCGTTTTTTCTCATGTTTCAGCCCTCGGGGCCAGTTATCGGGTTCCGGGACCGCCAAGAGCGGACCCAGAACGAACAGCTACCCCCAGTAGAGGGTCGGGACATTTGGGGCCGCGCATCGAAAAATCACACCGTCGGACGTGTAGGTCCTCCTCCTTCCTCCTCCCCCCTCCCCTGCCGGCTTTGTCTCACGGTTTTGGTGGCGGTGCGATTTGGTTCGCAGTGCGGGCTGACGCGTGAGATGTGGGGAGGCTTGTGGCGGGGGGCGTTTCTTCGCGGAGATACAAAGACGCGCCGCTGGCGGAGGCGCCTCCGTCGGAGCCGTTCATGCACACGCTGCCCGACGGCCAGGAATTGGCGACGCGCGCGGGCCCAGACCCCCTCGCTTCACGAGCAAAGCGCGACGGACGGTTCTTTCGCCTGCTCTCGGCCTCTTGTGGCCCTGGGGCCGTCCACAAACGACTCGGGGCGAAACGCTGGTCCTGGGGAAAGGATCGAGATCTCTGGGTGGGGGTCGACGTAGTGAAACACAAGTCATCACAGTCAACCCGGACAGTGAGGATGGGCAGCCTTCTCAAGGGTACCCTTGCATCCTTGCCTCCTCGGCGCATCCTTGGCCACTCTCGCTGGCCGCGCCCCGCTCGAAAAGCGTCGAAATGGGCTTCCAAGGGCCTTGCATCTTTATCACGCCATCCTTACGATGCGGGCCGACCATGCGGCGGGGGCCCAGAAGGGGTGTGGCGTGAGGGGGTGTGGGGGGCGGCCTGCGGGGTGGGAGGCTTTGCCTGGCAGGAGGAGGGCCTTCTCACAGGCCCCTGGCAGCTTCGGAGGAGCCCTTGTTTCTTTTTGGGGGAATTCAAAACAATTGCTTTTGAATTCTAGACGCTTCGCGTAACCCCACCAGCGTCCGTGGCCCCTCTGGCTCAAGCCCCTCTGGCTCAAGCCCTTCTGGCTCAAGCCGTGTCGGCTCGAGGTTGGCTCGGCGCGACCTGGGTCCGCTGCCTCTGGGGCCGGCCGGATGGAGCCGCCCTCTGCACGGCGGCGACGGCTGCGCCGCGCTGCCGCCGCCCGCGCCGCTCCGGCGCCGCCCCCTGGCCGTCCGCCCGCTGGGTGGGCCGCCGGCCCTGCGGCCGCTGGCGCTGGCCTGGCCGGCGTTCGCTCGCGCCGCCTGCCCCCCGGGCGGGCCGCCTCCAGCCCGGCCGCCGCCGCCGCCGCCTCCGGCGGCGCGGCCCTGGGCGCTGCCGCTGCCGCCTGCCCGGCCGCCGCTGCCGCGGCCGCCTGCGGCGCGGCCCTGGGCGCTGCGGAGGCCGCGGCGACCGCCGGCCTCTGGCTGGCCGTCGCCGCTGCGGCCCTGGCGGCCGTGCTGGCCGCGCGCGCGGCCGCGCCCTTGCTGCCGCGGCCGCCCCCCCTGCGGCGGCCGCGGGCAGCTCCGCGTCGGCGGCGGCTGCGTCGTGCGGCGCGTCGGCCGCTGCGGCCGTGCCGACGCCCGGGGGCGGCGCCACCTCGGACCCTGCCGCCGCCGCCGCCGCTGCCGGCTCCCCGGCGGCGGCGGCGGCGGAGGGCTCGGTGGCCAGCGCCGCCGCGGCCGCGGCCGCCCTCGGCGACCCCCCGCGGCAGCAGCGGCAGCAGCGGCAGCAGCAGCTGCAGCAGCAGCAGCAGCAGCAGCAGCAGCAGCAGCAGCGGCTGCAGCAGCAGCAGCTGCAGCAGAGAGGGGCACCCCAGCACCCTGGCAGCCCGGTGCCCGTCGGCAGACAATGTACCCTTGCATCCCCGTGTCCGGGTCCTGACGACCTCGCGGGCGCCCCTGGCGGCCACCAGACCTCTCAAAGCGTGCAGACCGCCGTCAGCCGTGATCCTGGCATCCCCCTGATACAAAGCGACCAGGCGGCCGTCAGCCGTGATCCTCAAAACTCTGACTGTCGGAAGGAGGTACCCTTGCTCCCTGGCGCCCTTCCGGGCACCCTTGGCGGCCAGCAGACCTCGCAAGAAGACGCAGGGCCCGTCAGGCTAGAAGGGAACGGAACGGTTGTAACGATGCAGTGCGTTCAGACGGCCATCAGCCGCGACCCTGGCACCCATCTGGGACAACCAGCATCGAGGGCCATCAGCCGTGACCCTGGCGACGAGGGATCCGCGAGAGCTCAAGGCACTCTTGCATCCCAGTGCCCGAGCCATCCTCACGACTCCGGCTGTCCGAAAGAGGCTCCGTTGCACCCTTGCAGCCCTGTGTCCGTTGGCGAACGAGGCGCCATTGCCTCCCCGTGCCCGGGTCCTCACGCCCTCGCGGGCGCCCCCCTGGCGGCCAGCAGACCTTTCAAAGCGTGCAGACTGCCGCCAGCTGTGATCCTGGCATCCCCCTGATGCAAAGCGACCAGACGGCCGTCAGCCGTGATCCTCACAACTCTGACTGTCGGAAGGAGGCACCCTTGCTCCCTGACGCCCTTCCGGGCGCCCCTGGCGGGCAGCAGACTTCGCGAGAAGACGCAGGGCCCGTCAGGCCAGAAGGGAACGGAACTGTTGTAACGATGCAGTGCGTTCAGACGGCCATCGGCCTTGACCCTGGCATCCATCTGGGGCAACCAGAGTCGACGGCCATCAGCCGTGACCCTGGCGACGAGGGATCCGCGAGAGCTCAAGGCACTCTTGCATCCCAGTGCCCGAGCCATCCTCGCGACTCCAGCGGTCCGGAAAAAGCTCCCTTGCACCCTTGCAGCCCTGTGTCCGTTGGCGAACGAGGCGCCGCTGCTTCCCCGTGCCCGGGTCGTCGCGCCCTCGCGGGCCCTCGTCGCGCCCTGGCGGCCAGCAGACCATTAGAAGAGAAGCCGAGCCCGGAGCGGCTGCGATGTCGGACGCACAAGGAGGAATTGGGCACGTTGGGCCAGAAGGCAGCCAGGGGGTCATGTCGGAACAAGCAGCTTTCAGCCGCAGCAGTCCTTCGAGCTAGCCACAGGCTGAAACGGGCACTCCTGCAGCTCCTCACCCCCGTCAGCGTCCCTGGGTCGGAGTTTTTTGGTGGAGGCCGAAGGTGCGCTTGGAGCGGCGCCCACCCCTGGCGACGGTATCGCGGCGGCAGTTCGGAAGGCGTCAGAGAGAGCGCCCGAAAACGGAGTCCCACCACGCATAGAAGAGAGCCAGGGTGCCGTAGATCCAGGAGCGGCCGTCAGCTGCTACAGTTCTCGCGACGGGTGCGTGGGCGCAGGTGCGACTGACCGGGGCCCAGGGCATCCGCGACTGGAGGGCTCGCCTGACTCCTGGATGGGCGTGCGGGCCGCAGACGGGCGCGTCCTCGCGGTCGGCGCAGACGCTCCAGCCGGCGCTTCCGAGGCCATCCCCGTGGCCGACGGCAGACGTGGAGCCCGCTACCTGGAGAGTCTGGGGACGTCGTCGCACCTGGTTGAGTGCGAGACCCAGCGACACCTCGCTGTGACTCTGCCCACCGCCGCCCCCGGCGCGCTCGAAGCCTCCTCGCGGGGGAACAACGGACCCGCCTGGCAGAGACAGGACGACGAGGCCATCCGCCAGCTTGTCGGCAAAAACCCTTTCGCGCCCATTCGCCTTCTTTCCCCTGGCAGCGATCCCGCCCGAGCGGACAGCGGACCGCCGCCCCCGTCTGACAACGTGCCCGTCCTGTGTAACCCACAGCAATCCCACATCGGACGATAGCCTCGCGGCGACAGGTGTGGGCGCGCCAGCGAGCGTGGACGGGCACAGGCCTGAAGGCGAAAGCCAGCGATTGGGGCTCGTCCCCGCATATCGCAATGCAGCGCCCCCTTCTGCCCCAGCTGCCAGAGGCGACCCGGCCCCTGCCTGGCGGCCAACCGCGCCGCCCGCTCCGGCCCGCATGGCCTCGCCAGGCGTCCCGGCCCCAGTGGCCACCGTGCCTTGCGAAGCCGCGGGCGACTCTGTCGGCGGGCGCCGGGATGCGGCGTCGCGCGCTTCGTCTGCCCGCCTCGCTCGCCGTGAGCGGCCGGCCTCGCGGCAGACGATTGCCCGGTCAGATCAGGGTGGCAATGTTGCAACCTTGGAGCGGATCGACGCGTTCCGCCTGGCGACGACCGAGGGTGGATCCTGGATGTCTGCCGTTGGCGGTCGTTTCAAAGTGGGCGACGCTGTCCTAACCGAGCACTATGATTTCAGCGACGTGTCTGTCTATGACGCTTGGGTGTCGGCGCTGGGGCCGCTGGGGCACGGTGGCCCGCGCGTGCTCTTCCCCGACGACGGCGCCGGCCAGGCGGGGCACGCGTGCCTGCAGTGCGGCGAGATCTCTGCGTCTTTTCTGCTGCATCGGCGGCGCGACCGCCAGGGCGGAGCTGCTCTGGTGACGTGCAAGGGCGCCGCCGCTGCGCCGGTCGCCCAGCGAGGGCCGGCTGCAGAGCGGCCGGCATGGATAGTGCGGCCAGCGAACAGAGAGGCCGTTTGACTAAGCCGTGATCCTCGCAATTCTGACTGTCAGAAGGATTCGCCCTTGCTCCCTGACGCCCTTCCGGGCACCCCTGGCGGGCAGCAGACGCAGGGCCCGTCGGGCCAGAAGGGGCGGAACGGTTGCAACGATGCAGTGCGTTCAGACGGCCATCAGCCGCGACCCTGGCATCCATCTGGGGCAACCAGATTCGACGGCTATCAGCCGTGGCCCTGGCGGCGAGGGATCCGCGAGAGCTCGAGGCACTCTTGCGTCCCAGTGCCCAGGCCATCCTCTCGACTCCGGCTGTCCGGGAGGGGCCCTGTGTCCGTTGGCGAACGAGGCGCCCTTGCCCCCCCGCGCCTGGGCCCTCGCGCCCTCGCGGGCGCCCCCGGCGGACAGCCGACCGCGCAGAGCGTGCAGACGGCCATCAGCCGTTATCCTGGCATCCCCTTGATACGCAGCGACCAGACGGCCATCAGCTGTGATTTTCGCAATTCTGACAGTCAGAAGGAGGCGCCCTTGCTCCCTGACGCCCTCCTGGGCACCCCTAGCGGCCAGCGGGCCTCGCAAGAAGACGCAGGGCCCGTCAGTCCAGAAGGGGGCGGAACGGTTGCAACGATGCAGTGCGTTCAGACGGCCATCAGCCGCGATCCTAGCCCCATCTGGGGCAACCGGAGTCGACGGAGGCCCCCCCGGAGGCAAGCGATCCGTGCAGTTACATCTACGACAAAACGGCCATGAGCCGTGCCCGGCCCTGACAAAGCGGCCGTCGGCCGTCCCTGGCATGGGCGTCCCCGACAGTGCGGCCATCTGCCGTGCCTGGCTTCCTTCTCGCTCTCTCCCGCTCTCTCCTTTCCCCTCCCGGCCTTTCCTTCGTCGCCGCGGCTGGGCGCGGCCGAGCCCGTTGCTGGTGCCCTTCGGCCGCGGCGCCTCGGGCGGCGCGCGCGAGAGGGAAGGGCGAGCGCGCTGGCAGACGGCCCTGGCGCTGACCCGCGAGAGGCGGAGAATGCGGCTGGAGCCAACCACCATCATCGGTGCGACACTGCTGAGCGAGACGGCAGTCGTTCCGCTGGGGCCCGACATCACCATCGCCCACGACCCTGTGAACAGCGCGTGCGAGAAGAGCAGGCTTTGGCAGTGGCAGCGCGACGTGGCGCTGCGGAGCGAGACCTGGGGCGCGATGCTGGAGCCCGGCAGCTTCGCCTACGTCACTGTTAACAGTAACAGTGACAGAAGG